ACCCTATATCAAAAAGAAGCACTAAATAGCATACAAATTTTGGGCCTAATCAGCAGGCATGATTTATTGCAGTCTGCCATGTTTGTAGCTCTATGCCACAACTCCACTTCCCACAGTTCCCGATTTCTTTTGTGGTTCCAGGGCTGTAAACAAGGCTTGCTTCGTGCTGGAGTATCCCTCTAAAATCACTTAGATTCTGGAACTTTCTACTGTTAGTCTTCCATCTGCCTTTCAATAATATGTCTTATGATTCAAATTATAGAAGCCTTCTGATTTAAAAAAATTCTGTTTCTTATTTACCTAATTGTTTTGGGTGATAATTTCCCCTAGGAGAAGAGGACCAAGGCAGCTTTGATTTGCCTTTAAAATGACAAGTATCTCTTAGACTCTTTTGTTCCTCTTACAACATAGTAGAGTACTTAGCAGCTAACAGACATGAAGATTTCAGCTCATCAATGATTCTAGTGGTTTAGATGCAAACTAAGCTGCTGTGAGTAGAAGATCCCAAAATACAAGGACTCACTCAAATAAGGTTAAGTGCCTACTTCATTTATCAAAGAGCAGTTCACAAGTAAGAAGGCAGTGTAGGGTGAAGAGCTCTCATTAGAACACTACATCATTAAAAGGCCCGGGTTTCTTTTTTCTTATTTTTATTTATCCTTTATATTGTCCTGGTGAAAACTGGCTTATCATAACTCTATATTCCAAACCATGAGAAACAGGTTAATCAACCTAGAATATGCCTACCAGTTAACAATCTTCATACATAAATTATCTCACAGTTCCTTGCCTAGTCAAATTTCAGATGAGACTCTCATCTGGGGCCAGCATCTTGACAGCAGTCTGTGAGAGTCTCTTAAACACAAACATTAGGCTAAGCTGTGTCCAGACTGTTGGCCTACAGAAACTGTAACTGATTAATACAGCATTTTAACCTTCACCATGTAAATTATTAGTAGTTGACAAAATGCAACCTTTTAATCATATTTTAAAGGTGAGTACAATTAAGTATAAAGCTAATATATATTTTGATAATCTTTTTAGATTTATTGTGTGTTTGTGTGAGGTGTATGTATGTGAGTATATATATGTGTGTGTGTGTGTGTGTGTGTGTGTGTGTGTGTGTGTGTATGTGCATGGATGTGTGTCAAGGATTGACAGTGCATATCTTCCTTTATTGCGTTCCACCTTTGTCTTTGAGACAGTGTCTCTCACTGAACCAGAAGCTCACTATTTCAGCTAGACTTCTGGGCCAGCAAGCTCCTAACCAAGAATCCACCTGTCTCTGCATCCCCCAGGGCTGGAGTTACTGGTTTGTTTCACCATGTACCTGAACTGTATGTGCGTTTCAGGGATCAAAACTCAGGCCTTCATGCTGGCACAGCAAACATTTTCCCCATTGAGCCACCTCATCAGCTGGATAGTCTTTTGGACTCAATTATATCAGAGAGATCCTGTTTGTACCTGATAACTAAACCCAATTCCATATTCACTAGACTGATCATCCACACTGCTGCTAATATCACACTTCTACACTCTTCCAAACTGTCTCTATGATGCAGCTCCTAGACGAAGTATTAGGAGTGCCATAAGCAAAAGTACAAGTCATATAATATCATATGCTTTCATTTTAGACTACAGAAACAATAAAATGTGGAGGTTTTCCTTCTAAAAAGAATCGTTACACAAAGCAAAACAAGTTAAATGCTAATACTGATCAGTTTTCTATCTGTTTATATGTCAAAATATACACTATAGACCATGATATAAAATACCTTGAATGGTTTGAGAGGAGCGGGAATCTAGACAAAATCTGTGGGTTTCTGCATACAGGGAATTAAGAAATACTTACTAGAAACCAATTGGACACTAAAGATCAATGAATAAGCCATATTTGGCCACTATTTCATGAAGTTTACACTTTAACAGGGAATACAGACAAGTAAATAAATAAAGGGATATGGTGTGGTATTTGCATTAAGATATACAGACTACTATGGCTGGACAAGGCAAAATGCTTAAGTCAAAATGCTAGTTGTGTCAGGAAGATGTCTCAGCTAAAATGATATCTAAACCTGAACCTTGGAGATGATTAGGTTAAATAGAAGGGGATGGGTAGTTAAGAACCACAGGAAAAGAAATAGCTGTGAAAGGGCAGAAGCAAAAGAGAAGCTGACATATCTGAATGAGTGGACTCTGAGTAGACGACAGAGTAGTGTGGCCAGAGAGGATGTGAAGACAAGTGGGGAAAGGCCTTATTTATTATTATACAGGATACTACAGGCAGGTCATACTGCAGAGTTTAGCCCTTATTTAAAGGAAGCACAAAACTATTGAAGGGCTTTAAGCAGAAGAATAAAATAATCTCATTCTTATATAACTCATATAGTATTTATAACTATTTGACTTCTGAAAAACTAACTTTTGCAACATGTTTTTTAAAAGCCAATAGAAACATGTAACTAGGCAGGCATGATGGTACATGCCTATAATTCCATCACTTGGGAGGTAAAGGCAAGAAGATAAAGAATTCAAGGATATTTTTAGCTACCCAGAGAGATTGAAGCCACAATTCTAATTAAATGTCCAAATACATTTTTAGGAGTAACTGAAAAACTGAATGTAAGATCATTGGAAAATTAAATGCATAATATTGTAATTTTTAAAAAAGAGGTCTTGCCTTGCATGTACTAAAAATATGGGACAAACACAATAGCTGAAAAAGTATATAAGACCAAAATACTCAGGAAGGATTGTAGTTAAATTGTATCCTTCAAACAAATATGTTTGCGTTCAAGTCTTGTTATCTATGAATATAGCCATATTTTAAATTAGGATCTTTGCAAAGTCATATAAATCAGGTTATACTTTATAAGGCAGTTCCTAATCCAATGACCAGAATTCTTATGAGGAGGGAATTTTGGACAGAGACAAAGACAGCAATTACACCATGTAGTGGCTGAGAATGATACTGGAATGGTATGTCTACATGACAATGTATAGGACTGCTGGCACACAAGAAGCTAGAATAGGAAAGGAAGGATCCTACCTTGGAGCTTCTAGGGATAGGCAGTATTGTGGAAACTTTGACATCAAACTTTTGACTTCTCAAATTCAGAGAATCAATTTCTATTTTTTAAAGCTTTGCAGTTTGTGCTAATTTGCTATACCAACTCTCAAAAACTTACATAGCATGTAAAAGACAAATTAAATATAATAAAAAAGGTATCTTAAATGGGTAAAGAATGGATTTTATTAATTAAATAAATAGGGTTTAGGACAACAGGCTACCAAGTAAAGTAAAATACAAACATCATACCACAAATTAAAATACCAAGTGGATAACAGATTTAAATGCAAAACCAGAAAAATATAAAACTAATTACCAACACAACAAAAATCAAAAAATCACTAGGTCAAAATATAAGAGTTTGTTTTAATAAGAGGGATAGGTATTCTAGCCAGAACATGAAATTCAGAAGCCAGGTATGCTAATTTAAAAATAAAACTTATGTGTATATTTAATACAGGAATAAAATCAGTGTCTTAAAAAACTGTATAAAATGTCTGGAAGATTAATAACGGACATGGGGTTAATGTTCAGAATATATTCAGAGACACAGAAACCAAAATGGATGTAAATTATCCAAAAGAAGTTTATGCTAAACATAAAACATGAAGACCAACAATATTTAGATACTTAATCTAATAATCAGATAAAATGTAAACTAAAATGAGAAAGTATTAAATATTTCAAGTGGTTCATAAAGACTGTTTTCTGATAACATTCCACTGTGGGATAGGAAATTATCAAACACTTACTCTCACATGCTGAAACTTTATCAACAGTTTTGAAAGACCAGTATTGTCTATTGAAATTTAAATGTTCATACCTCTTGGTTCAAATGCAACCTTTTCTGTAGTCTACTGAAATGTAAGTTTATAAAACTAAATAGTGGAAATTTTTCATTAAATATAAAATATATACAGAATAGAATAGCATGTAACCATTGTCAAAAGATGTAACTATTTAAAAAAGAGGTAACATCTGTTTATGTTACAAAAATGTTCAAGACATATCAGTGAAAAGAGCAAGTTGCAAAATAACTGTCATATGTATAGACTAACAAAATTATAGCTGAGCTGCAGACAATGGACAGTTATCCTGGGTAGACCAGGAAAAACTTACTAATTCATTTATACATACTTAATACTGAGTACTTAATGTGCGACACATTCTAGGTGCTGGGGATTCAATATTTAACAACAGTTAAAAAGGAAGTGAATGGTCAATAATTCACTTTCTATGTTAACTGTTTCTTGAAAAGTATGACCTTAATGTGTGTGTGCATATAAATGAATTAATTCTTTCTCCCTCTCTCTCTGAGACAGAGTCTACGTAGCTCATGCTGGCCTGGAACTTATTACTAATCTAGCTGGTATCAGGCATGTGATTCTATTGCCTCAATTTTCTGAAGTCTTATTATAGGCTTGTGCTACCAGACCCAGCTTTGTAATTCTTTTAACGCAAATCTTCAACAGTATTTAGAAAGGTGACACTGGCATACTGTTGTGTGATATCGTGATTGCATTCTGACCCTTCTGAGACTGACAAAGTTTATTTTGAATCACAAGGTAGAGGAGCTAGCTACTAGCTGACCAAAATTAACCATAAAGGTGTTGGAGGCCTGAGGACTGATAGACACAGAAAGTAGTAAGGCATGGTTGAGAGAGGGTCTTGGCCCTTTTAGATGGAGGAATGAAAGAGATAGGCGCTCACTGGTCGCTTCTCCATTCCTTCTCTTATCATTCAGAGATATCTGATTCCCAAAGTTTTATTGCTAAAAATAATTATATAAACACATCAGCATATTTTGGTAAAACTAATGTGAAAGCATCAACAAGTGCCTTATATAGTAAAACGATTGCTTTGTTTAATTTAAAATTAATAATTTTACGTTTTGTTTGTCTCTGTCCTTTATAACACACATTTTACTTACAGTTTGTGGATTAATCTCCTCCTCTCCCATAGGTTCATCCATAATTTGCTGTCCATTCTGTGAAAAGCACAGCAAGTAGAAAGTTACCAAAATAGATTTCACATCAAAATTATATGAAGACAGACAAAAAGAAAATAAAGCAACAAAACTACCAACCCATCATCTAGAATATCCTAAAGAGCTTCAGTGAAGTAGAACCACCATCTAAGAATGCAGGGACAACTTTGCAACAAGTTGTGTTTCAGAAGTTCATAGGTAATTTAATTATTTGAAATTATCTGAGCATTTTTCCAGGGAACTAATAAACGCTGACTACCTTTCCAGGTGAGCTCTTATGCGTCCTAGGTTAATGCATTACAAATGGTCTTAGTCAAGCCTTATCTAACATCACTTATAATACTTTGTACAAAGAACACATTCTAAACTCAGTACCATTAATAATTAATCAGGAAAACTGATTAATTATTGTAGAGAAAACTAAGCTCAATCTCTACATCAAAGTAAGTTCCAGATGGACTAAACATTTAAATGTCAAAAGTAAAACTAAGCAAGTATTAGAATATGGGTGAGTAAAAGTTGTAAGAAGAGAAATCATAAAGAAGTAAGTGACATTTGTATCCATAAAAGTTATACCAGACACAAAGAATTACAAAAGACAAATTGATTACAAAAAACTAAAGCAACATGACAAAAAGTTGGTATCCTTGATACATAAAGATCTTTGTTTTACAAACCTGTAAGAAAAAAGGATGAACCTCAACAGAAATGAGCAATAAGGGAAAAAAGAATTCAGCCTTAGTGCCAGTCATAGAAATGCATTTAACCCAAAGATACCTTTGCCTTCCAAATCAGTAATAGCTTACAAGAACCTGACACTAATACTCAGTGGGCATGGGGAAAAGCATTCTGGGTTTACTGGTGGAGAAAGTGTAAATCAGCACTCTTTTAGGAAGACAATTTGAGTCTATTAAAAACAAACAATTATCACACATAAAATTTTAGTATCCCATCCATTCTACTTCTTTTAAAATAGACAAGTGTACAAAGATGTATATACAAAATGCTCACCATAATTATTTTTTCCAAAAAGAACTCCAAATTGGAAACCTAAATTCCTAACAATAGAAAACTAGTTAAATATAGTATGATGCATCTATATAACGGAATACTATGTGGTCATTAAAATAATGATAAAGATGTAAATTCATTGACATGGAAAGACAGTCACATATAATAAGTGAAAAAGCAGTTTACAAAACAATATGGATTATAACAAACCCATTTTAAACAAATATATACATGTCTTAATGTATATATTTGTATGGGGAAACACTCTGGAAGGATATACACCAAAATGTCAACAGTGGCTATCTCCAAATGGCAGAATTTCAGATGACTTAAACTTTAATTTTGCTTACTTGAATTTTGTAATATATCTATAGTATCTACAATAAGTATGTATTATTTGTGTACCTGAAAAAAAAAACAGTAGGGAGTGGTAACCCATGTTTATAGTCCCAGAACCGGGGATCTTGAATCAGGAGGTCTATATGTTTGAGACCAGCAAGTTCATATCTCAAAGAAACAAAAATAAAACAAAACAATGGAACTTAGGAATACAAAGGGTCTTCTTTTATTCCCTCAGTGGACAAAAGCTTTCTAACTCTTTGTGATTCAACAAATATACCAGGATCTAAGTTAACCATTTTTAGAGCATTATAAGTGGGGAAATAATAAAAGGCAGCCCACAACATCACATAAGGCAGTTTCTTTGAATTTAAATCCCTGTCTCTCTTCTCTCCCCAGCTCTATTTATCATTCATTCATTCATTCTTCATTTGTTCATTTATTCATGCTATGTTCTAGGTACTGACCTGAAGATAAATGTAAACATGTCTTTCATCCTAAAATGTCTACTGACTTTTAAACCAAGGGGCACCTGCATTCCTAGGTGTAGAGGCTGTCTATACTAAATAACACAAAAGATAAAACTGGTGCCAAAATGCAGGAAAGTAGGGGTGGGGAGCATATGTAAATAAAATCTTAATTTCCTGACACACTTTCCCATTTCTGTGGCAAGGCCATCCAAACTATCTTCAAGACATGCCTTTTGTGCTCTCGGAACTCCTTCAGCCAATAGCTTTTAAGATACCAGCCCACTTTGGATGTGGTCTCATGTACTATAAATGCAGATGAAAAGCATATGTGGGACTCTTGGTTTCTGGATTTGGTTTCAGTTCCCAGTGCATGCAGAAGAGTATGGATCACTACTATTTCTGTTAGTTTATTCCCATATAAATAAACCTTTGTAATACTCTGGAAAAAAAACAAAGACATGCCTTTCTTCTACAAGATATAATTTTTTATTTGACTGACTCCTGATTGTTTTTAATCCAATCCAGGAACTCCAAGGAAACCTTAATCTAGTTCTTAAGAATACTGAGTTGGAGTCAAGTGTGTAGGTTAGAAATCCTGTTTTCATAATAGCAGTGATGAAGCCTTGGGCAAGTTATTCAAATCACGCAAGGTTTAGTTTTTGTACACAGAAAGTAACAAATAAGAGAGTAGTACTATTCAGAGAATTGTGAAGATGAAAGATAAATACATGAAAACCTAATCTGAGTATCTGGCATTTAGTGAACAATAAGATTAGTTATTTTTATCATGTCCAGATCTATGGCTGACCAGCCTGCCATCTTTCCCTGTAATTCCTCTCTTAGAGAATGCCACCATCTAATAATAATATTTACCTCTCTCTAGTATTTGGATTTTAGAACTCTTCATCTAACTGGAGGCACATTTATATTTCCCATGGGAATAGGATTTCAAAACCATCAGCTCTTTGTAAGTTTCAATGCATGCAAAGCAACCATTACAATTAGATTTTTACTTTTAAGGTCAGCTGGTACAATATGAACAGCACTGAACTTGGAACTGGTAGACAGGTAGTACTGACATAGAGACATGGCACTCACTTAAGTCTTATGATTTGGGGAAATTGGACTTCCTTTGAACCTATCATTTTCTCTGTTAAAATAGAGATTATTTGCCCTGTCTACTCAAGAGGTTATTATTCAGCTCAAAATTGAGATGATTCATAACAAAGCATTTTGTTAGTTAACTACCAATGTAAAGTACTATTAAGATGAAATAGTTTCATAAGGATAAAATGATACAACAAAAAATCCTGTTGATAATCAGAAAGATATCTCAAAAGTCTTCTGTTCCAACCACAATAATCTATTTAAATTCTTTCTACTCTGTTTTTTACCTATGTTAAAATGCTATCAGGACAGGAATGTAGTCTTATCAGGTAGCCCACTATTAGACTACCTCTGAAAAAAACACTGCCTACTAGACATAATTCCTCATTGTACAGCAATTTTTCTCACTCACAAATACTACTTTAAGAAGATATTTAATAAATGAAGACTAAGTTGCCTCTAGATTACCTGCAAAGACATAGGAAGTAAATCTTCACTCGTGATTATAATGTGCCCAAGTCTTATCTTTTACAGATAACTAAAGTTTATACAAATATTTAAGACAGATGAGGCTTCTGATCCTACTTGCTGAACATATTCTTGATTCATCTTAAAGAGTAGTAGTATGTTAAAACACATTCAATCAACATTCCAACTATGGTTTTAAAATGCAGACATGTGGGCATATCACCTCCCTTTCCTAGATAATAAACTTTCATTGATGTTGTTCACATTTGCAAAATTTTGGGTAGGCCTCCACATACTGTTGACACACACTAATTTTTCTGTTGGTTCAGCCCTTGTTTTTTAAAGGAAGTACTTATTTTATTAGTTATATTTATCTGTATCACTGTATGTGGGTATGTGCATATATACGCAGATACCAATGGAGGTCAGAGGGGTTGTATCTCCTGAATTACAGACAGTTGTGAGTCACCTAACATGGGTGCTGGGAACTGAATTTGGGTCCTCTGCAAGAAACAATTCTCTAAACTACTGATCTAGTTCTCTAGTCTCAACATTTATTTAGTTTGTTTTTGGTGGGGTTTACATGTACCATACATAGTGTGTGTATGAAGATCAGAGGCAACCTGAAGGAATGGATTCACTTCTACTATGTGAATCCCAGGGACTGAACTAAGGTCATCAAGCTTCCAAGTTATCTTTATGTGAAAAACTATCTAGAGCCCATTCCTACTTTTTTTTTTACATACAGTACAACTTATTATACGTCAGTAATATGTTGGGGCATACCCAAGATAATGCATCTTTCATCTTGTAACTGTTGTTACTTATTCCCACAGAAAAAGTCTTACTTAAAAATTTTTGATTCATCTTTTCCCACCTATGGTCTTATTGCTACAGTTTCTATTTGTTGGAACAGAAAACCTGTAAACCACTTCACTATTTTCAGCTTCAAGTCGGTCACAAATTTGGACAATGCATTATCTTTTCTGAAATATTTAGCTAATTAACACTTTAAGTAAACATTATAAGAAACAATTGAAATGAAACATGACCCCAAAGGTATCCTATTCTGTAGTGTAGGCAAGTAATCCACTTCTTGCTAAATTTAGGGAAGATTCACCTTTGAACTTCATTATTAAAATAGGAAAATAGAAATGCCAATGTTATCCTACATACCAACTTTACAAACCTTTTTTTTTATTTCAATGAACTTTTGGTATTATTCATCAAAATAAGGATCCAAGTATGATTAGAAATGAATGTAATGTTATGTTTGCAATTAAGAACTTTATTACCTCTTTGAAAACTGACCTTTGGTTATCACTAGAGACTAACAGATGACCAGTCTGACTCGATGCTGCACTTTCTATAGTTTCTAAAGCTAGAGGGATAGGATCTACTAAACAAGAAAACAGATTTTTCTAATTATAAGACAAATACAAAAGGTGTACACTGAGGTTGGTCAGTATTACTTTTAAACCCTAGCTATATCCCATACTGGTACAGTTACCTGAACTTTGGGTAAGTTAATTAAAAATTAAAGCTGCAGTTTGTCCGCTCGTAAGATGTATAATATAATTATGTATGTTATAATGTTGACCTTGG